GTGTTCACAAATTGATGCTCTGCTCCTCTGGGGCTGTAGCTGAAACATTAAATTGTACTGAAATATTCATATGTGAGTGCATTTAGCTGAGAGCAATTGATGTGCGACTCCCCAGACACCAGATGGAAATGTTGCAGGGCCCCAGCACGCGCTGGCAGACACCCTGAGCTCTGGCCGGGACACTGTGATTTAGCCTAGGCTGCACCGTCAGATGAAGACTACTGGATTCACAACGGCTAACGTCAGCGTCTGCATCGGGGGCCTGAAAGTATTTATTATTTTGTCCTGCAAACTATAGGGAGATTAAAAGATAAAAAAAGAAAAGAGGTTTGTCAGCCTCATGATATCGGGTATCTAATGAACGATAAAAATGTAAATGCAATTAGCATTATTATTTCAATAGTTAGTCTCTATTCATACAAAAGCTGTTACTATGCAGGACTGCACTTAGCATCTCAGGAGCAATTTAGCATCTGACTTGAAGGATTACCAAAGTAGCCCTGAAGGACCTCAGTGGAAGTCAGATCTAACCAAACTGACTAAATTTGTGTTTTAGAGTCTGCCAACATTATATTTTTCTTCATAAATATCATGCTGTGTTATATAAATATATAATAAAGCTCAACATGATTATGTCTTTTAAAAGTGTGGGTTTGGTACAACAATCATACCATGTGAGTCACAGGCTGAGACCGATAAAAAATGTTGTTTTTTCTCTCATTCAGAATGAAATATTAGTCTGTGGGTTTTTAAATATTTCATTTTAAGTGAATCAGTATGTACTCACATCTCAAAAGCTATGATAGAAGATACAGTAAATGTTAGGACAGGGTGTTTATGAATCTGTTGCAGAAGAAAGACATTGAAAATGAAAATACACGAGGGTTTAGAATAAGGTTGAACAAATTGTAAAGCAGCCGTTTCCCTGAAGAGTTGAGCTTTTTACTCAAAATGTTTGCTAATTGAGCCTCAATGTAACAAGTCATGCATAACTACACACTTGAATGTTGGATTGCTGAATTAATTTTGATGCTGTGTAAATTACTTTATGCTGTTCTTTGGAGTACTGTGATGTTGTGTCTCATATCCCAATGGAATATCACGACTGGGTCCTCATGTTTATCAGATGACTAACTAGCATAACCGTATTGCTTTGAACATATGCACAAGCAACCAGAGGAATTATCAGATTTTTTTTTTTTTTGTTCTTTGACAAAATGGAAAATCGCTAAAAGAAACTTTAAAGTAGACAAATAAAACTTGACAATTTATTTCTTACTTAATTTCTGTTCATAGCTTGAAGGGTGTTCATTTTATTAACAAATAAGATATATAATTTGCATTTAGTAAAAACAGATTTAATAATTGATTTCATATATCTCGAGAGGGCTGAGGCGACTAAGCTTGGTCACTCAGTGGGTCTTGTTTCTAGTTTTCTTTCTTATTTCTGTTGTTGACCCACTTTTATCAAAAGTACCAGTACAAGGGTCTGAGGGGAAGGCCCAGAAAGAAAAAAAAAAATTTATGTAAATGCAACAAAAAAAAAAAGTCTGTTGTAGCCATGACAACCGTCTCCTGAGTGGGTTCCTTCCACCAGGCGAACCTCTGGATCGTGTGCACTTAAGAAATATGTTTGAAAAAGAGAACCTGAGAAGCTTTTTAAAGTCTGATGTATAATTTATTTGTATTTTTCTCTCTGCTTCAGAGCGTCTTGAAAGAGCGTCGTGTGTGAGACGTGTTCTGAATCTGTCAGACCGCAGCAGTAATGCAGACATGCTCCCCACATCTATTTGTTCTCAATGAGATTGACCCTTTATAACATAGAACCAGCTGTTCTGAGCCATATGGCAGCGTTCAAAATCTCCTCCATCCACTCTGAAAAGAAACAATGTTCACAAACAAAACCACTTAGGTGTGAATCATAGATGTCTCTTTGCACAAACAATGAAAACATCAGAGGTCATACTAGATATTCAAAAGTTCTGTTACCATTAAAGTAAGTGATTGTTATTTTGATTTTGATGGCAAACAGAATCATAAACAGAATTATGATGGGTCTACTTTATCTTTCAAACACCATTTGGAGTTTAATTTGGTGTGATCAGACACAGCCAGACAAATGTTGCAATTAATGGAGATCCAAAGCAACATTTCTAACACTTGTAACATTACTCATATTCACTCACCTTTAATTCCTGCTTTTATCAGTCAAACCAGGCAGCATGTGAAGAACCTTCAGACAATCAGGTGTTCAGTTCTTCAAAAGTAGAATGAAATGGGGCGCTGGTAGCGTAGTGGTTATGTTGCCTGTCCCACATTCCTCTATTATCACCGTCAAACATTGTATAGACTTTGTATAGAAAATAAAGTCATGTAGTTGTCTGACGTGAAGCACTATAAGTATGTGAGATGGACACAAAGAAAGAAAAATAACAGAAGGTGCATTTTTCATTGACTAAACTTCAGTTGTAAAGCTGTTTCAGACTTGCTTCATTTTAAGTGGGTATAAGGCACAACTTTTTTATATTTTCCATCAAAATGGGACAAAACTGGACAAAATGGGACACTGATATTAACATTTGTGACTTCAAAATGATTTAAACTAAGTCAATAAGGTTTACCTTTATGTTTCAGAAAATTAGCAAGCTTCTAGTTTAGAGGGTTTATTTTATTCTGTTAAAGAAGACAAATATTTCAGCTTTTCATGCCTGCAGTGACATTTTTAAAGACATCACTTGTTTTTTGTAAGAAAGGAAATAAAGAAGGAAGTCGTTATCTTATTTTACCAAAAAGTCAGTAGATGTCAATCTCACCTTAGCAAATAAGGAATTCGCTAAGGAATAAAACCAAACCAAATATTCTCTGAGGCCTGAGAGTGTCCCACATAAAGCCATCTATCCCACAGCTGTCTCATATCCTTGGCATCACACCTGGTTACCGTGGGTTCTTCAGGCCTCAAACATTAATGTATCACTGGCCCATGTTCCTTCAGTTAATGAGATAGAAAACAATGATCATGTAAAGTTAATGCAGTTAAAGTGACTTCCTCTGTGCCAATATTAAAACATTTTAATTATTAAGTGTCTAATGGTCACTGTTAATTCTCTTAGCTGCTCGTGAGTGTGACAGCGTCTGTATGTCTGGGTGAATCAGAGAGGTCCCAAAAGCAATTTACTTCTTAAGGTCTGCTCTGTGTCCCCTACCTGTCAAAGTTACACACTTAACTCAGCCTGTCTCCATATGATACATATTGACAAATTGGGTTCATATAAATCATTGAGGCACACTGTCCATTTGTCCTTTTGTCATAAAGGAAATTGAGTTTTGTCTATGAATCTTAACAAACTTTACTCCTCTACAGAATCCTTTGTTGCATGAAAATGATTTAGCCTCAGCATTGACGACGCTCGGGCTGGAGCTGTAAGTTTTCTCTTCTTTTAGATAGCGAGATGAGCAGGAAGAGGTTCAGAATGGAGGCACCACCACTTCAGACATTAATGAATACCAAAGTAGCCCTGACGCGTAGAGGCTGAGCCAAGTTTTGGCACCCGTATTCAACAGGATTCCTTTGTGTGTGTCAGGAGCCAAGCAGGTCATTATTTATTTACTTGGTCCATGGCACATGCGATAGGCTTTGATGTTTACATAAACTACATGTGATGGATGAAAGCTAAAAATATAAGTAATCAAGTTACATCTTGACTTCAAAACACACAACACTGTCGACTGCTCAATTTGAAAAAGGATAAAATATGTTTTAAGGATTAGGAGGATTCTTAACACCAGTGTTTCATCATCAAAATGTTTTGCTTGGTGTTTGGATTTTTTTTGGTATAGTTGATTTTTTTTTTATTGTATTAAGTGTTTAGTTCTGGAAATCAATATATATTTTTAGACTGTACAAGAGATGACTCAAGCTTTGAAGAAGGGATCATTTGTTGAATTATGTAATAACTTGACTATGAAACGTAAACTTTCCTCTATTAACAACTCAAGCTCAAATATGAAAATGACTGATTTACCCACAAAAAACTCATAATGTGTCATTGGTCTATGTTTAAATCAAGTTTCAGCTGATGATTTTGTTTAAAAGATTTTAGATTAGCTGTTAGCCCAGTCCTCAAATGTGACCTTATTTTATCAGTGAATAATGAGTTAGTATGCAGTCTCTTTACGCAAGATGTCACATGTACGCAAAGGGTTATAGGCCATCAGCATTACATGTCATAAAGGGAACAATCACGTACATTTGACCAAAATCACAAAAACCATGAAAATTAAAAAAAGAAAAAGCCCAATCAGATGAAAAATAGTATTTGCAGTGCTCACAGTAATTTATCATGAAGAAGATGCAGTTGTGTGCCATGCACCTCCCATAATTTAAAGGTTTAGTTTGAGGTAAACTGATGCTGAAAATATTCTTCTATGGAGCACAACAATATCTGTAATGTTGCAGTTAGTCCCCCCCCCCGTATATACTGGGTACACTACAAATGTATGAATTAAGGCTGTCACAAACAATCTCCATACTAACTTACTACTAATTAACTAATCAGTATTCAAAACTTTGTACACTTGTGTTGATAGCTTAATTGCGGCCGTACTAGTTATTAACAATTAAAACATTCTCTGGATACTTATAAACACTTGACAAGCAACAAAATGGTACAGCAGTTTATCTTCTGAATTAATGATACAAGGGGGTAATGGGGGGGGGGGGCTGATTCCTCTCCACACTTAGAATGACTTGACCAATTAGCAGTTGTCGTGACAGGTCTTCCAATGTTAATAACCTTCAATAATTTAGGTTTTTCAATATGCATATATTATACCATGGTGATTAAATAATGGTGTACAGTGCAGTATGTAAGGAGGGGCCTGTATGTTATTGATGAAAGCTTTTATGAAGTGTGTTTGATCATACTCTATCTTTCTGCAGTGTCTTTGGTATTTAGAAATCTTGACACGTGATATATTAAGAGTCAGTGAACTGACAGGGGTTAAGGAAATACTAATTTTTATTTTTGCTATTTTCATTCAAATGACAACACCTGCATTTGGCAATAACTTCCTCCATATCAAGTTTACAAAAGTGTCTGTAAACATTAAAGTGCAAAGGATTTGCTTGCCATTTAGGGCACATAGTATCTTTTAAAGGTTCATGCTACAAGCACTCCAGGCTAGTTTCATGTGAAGAATCCCGTCACTTAGCCTTCATTCCATCCACACAAATATACCATACTCATGTTTTATTCAACAACTAAAACAAAAATGCTATTTAATAAACTTTGATGATATTCAAATCAAACAATAACTGACAGAAAGGCAAATCAAAGCCAGTCTTTTGTACCCTGTGGCTGTTTGAACAAAGAACAGCAAGATTTGTGTTTAAACTGGATCACACTAATGAAAAGAAAAAAATGTAAGAAGAAATATAAAAAAAAACAAAAAAAACAAAAAACATTTGAACTGCTTAAAATTCCAAAAGCAGAAAACATTGTCTTGGTATTCAACACTGTTTAGAAGTATTTGTTCAGTAAAGGCTTGAATGGCCCCCTTGCTGGTTTTAATTCATGTAAAGTTCAGTGCTTTTAGGACCTATTCAAAGTGGGAATTCCTGATGAAGACTGTGTCCAAAAACACATTAAACTCCCTCCGACTGGGACATTTTAGTCTTTGTTGTGCTATATCAGGGCATTTGTAATTCAAAAATCCATATAGGTGGAACAGGGTAGGTTGGACAGTATGGCAAAGGGCTTCAGAGTCCTTTTTCTCTTTCCTGCGATCGACTTCTGAGCACGTCAAGTTAAGGAGCATCAGTGTTAGCTTGTTCTGGATTGGCTAAGATTGGATTTACAAAGCGTAGGGAAAAATCCAACTTGTAAATCCTATGTGGTCCCTCTAATGAGGGTTACCTGCCACAAGGGTTCAGATTTAAGCCAAACAGGGTGGCAGTTAAAAGAAAAATACACTTCTGTTTCTGTGTGAATTTAGCTTATGTATCAGGCATGTGCCCCAGAGGTGTGTCAGCTGGACCCAGGAGCCGGTACTTCTCCTCCAGGGATGGCTCAGTGGTGCTGCCCTGCAGGTGAATCAGCGGCTTAGTCTGCAACAACACACAGCCCCTCCCCCGGCCTCTCCTCTCCTCCTGGTTCCTGCAGTTAAATATGTTTATTCTGTTGTCCAGCTCAGGGCTGGCTTTTTCCGAGCTGGTAGGACTTGGAAACTTAAGGTTCACAGGGTCCACAGCCAGACCCTTTTGAGCAAGGCAGGAGTCCTCGGAGAGGGAGGAGAGGAGCTCCTGCACCACTACGCTAGGGTCCCTGCAGTGGTCCTGGACTGGAAAGGAGGGAAGGCAGCAGCGATGGGAGCCATAGCTCAGACTGAGGTCATGAGCTGTGCTGCTGCTGCAGTCTGTCATAGATGAACCTGGCGGGTGGCTGCTCAGGCTGTGTGGACGGGCCGTCAGGCTGCCACTGGACCGCGATATGCTGGTTGAGGCCTCACTTACAGCACTGCCCACACGCTCCATAGTCAGCATCGAGTTGGACTGGATGGGATTTGGGTTGGTGGGGAGATGAACGTCAATAGCTGCTGTGGTGATGACCCGGGCACCTAAACCAGAAGCCCCGGCATCTTTAGACAAAGATGGACAAAACCAAAAATTACTTAAGACAAAACAAGTGCAGGACAGTTTACTTCCCGTTATCCTACAATTTTTAAAAACTGGTAATGTAGCTGCTGGTTGTCTATGATAAATTATACATTTACACTACAGGTTTCACACATTTTCCCAAATGTGTCTGTAGATGAAGAGTAGTGCAGTCAATAAGATTGTACAGGGGCAATCATAAACACACAGATTTCAACTGGCAGAAGCCAATCTGAATAAAGTAGGACTTGAGTTTGCATTGAAATATAGAATATGAGGCCAACTGTTTGAGCAAACAAAGTTGTGTCCTCTAACATGACATAACACCAGTAAAAAAAACAACTGGATTAGCAGATTAACTAGAAGGCATATTGGTGTACAAGTTCATGTAGTGGTGTAAAGTCAAGGATCATGGTCACTCACCACTGCTTGCTTCGCTGTAGTATTGACTTATGTAGTTGTTCATGTCATCACGTACAACTGGATCTAGTGGTGCAATATTTGAAAAGATGAATAAATGAGGGAATAATGATGTCATTTCAACACAAAATTGTAAAAGAAACAACTACATTTGTTCTTAACATTAACCAAGACAGATCAAGACTGAATATTTTTCTGTTACATGTTCTTTTGTCTGAATAGCAATCTTCATATAATATCAGATACCAAAAATTTAAACAAGGATGTACAGCACCCTAAATACTGTTTGTACGGCAAAATAATACAATCAAAAGAAATCTTGAATGTAGAAAATGTTCTTTTATACGTCAGAAAATACGACAAAAGGACAAAAATGAACAGAAGGAAGTTGAGACCTGTGTATGATCATATTATATAAATAGAGAATAGACTATAAACTGTTATCAGCAGTTACCAGTTAAATTAGGGTTTGCATCAAGTCACTGACTCATACAAGTGAGTCTGTGTGACAGTGACCATAATTGGATTTTACACCTTTTTTTTATGTAGTTACTCTGATCAATTTCAGTGTAAACATTGCAAACCGATCCAAATGGAAAATATCTCCTGTGTTTACAACACAATATTGACAGAGATGACTTCTGCCCCAGGCCACAGGTGCATTATTGGCGATTGGTCAGGAATATGCGCTGCTACGCTGCCCATTAGCTACCAGCCTACTGCACTAGACATAAACTGGGACAGGGATGGGATGGGCTTGGTTTCAGGATTGAGAGAAATGGGGGGGAAATGACAGAGAGTGAAAGTAGGATCTCTTTGTTCAGGCACAGATCCCTCCAGTCTAGCAGGCCAGAGTGGGGTGAATGGCTGTGATCTGCGAGGCTCTTCTGTTCGCTTGATTGGTCTTGAGCTCACTGTCCGCTGGGTGAGTGCGAACCCAGAGTACCCTGAGTGCTAGCCCCTGTCTCCTGGGACATGCAGCAGACTCTGATGGGTAATTTCATTTATTTTTCAGTCTAAAATATTAATCCCTAAGCCACCCCTGGAGAGGAAGCATTGCACTCACTAAAACAAGAGCGAGACAATCCCCTCACAATTAATAACACATGAGTGTTAAGAAAAAAAGAATGGGCTGCCCAGCATATATAACAGGCTTTTTCCCTGACAGTAAAGTTACCAGGCTGTCATATGAAGAAAAAGAGAAGTGACATTCTGGACTATTTTGGTTCAATTTTAAACTATAATTTGGTTTGGTGAAGACTCAGACTGAAACCCAGGAAGGGCAATTTAACACAGCAGCAATACAAATAAACATAAAACAGACAAGGAATGTTTCAGATAAAAAATAAAATTAGGCCATTTTAGGAAAGAATAATGCACAAATTAAGGTGATTTATATATGTGCCATAAAGGCTTTTAGCAGCATGGAACTTAAGTCACTACTTTGGTCGGGACAGAAACTTTTCAGCTATCATGGATTATTATACAAACTACTGCAGGCATTTATTCATCCCCAGAGGGTGACACCATCTCCTTTTTGTAAGTTATCTTGGTGGTTTTGAGTGACATGTCGCAACACTAGTAAAGGGATTATCATTCAATACTGAAGAGCCATTCTCTTCCCTTTGTGGGATGAAAAATGGCTTATAACTGTGGGACACCTCAGACTTTTCAGCTCGTTCCATCCTTTCCTTGTGTTATAATTTCCCCAAACTCTGGTTTATGTCTTAATGCCTGCAAAATATATGACACTTCATCAGCTTCAGCTATTCTTTGTTGTTAGTATGATAACTCTTTATAATTAGTACTAACAGTCTAAGATGTTAAACATAATTAGAATAAGACTAATAGAATGATCATTGTACCTGCAGACTAATAATGAAATATCTAGAACATTCAACATTTAGGTGGTTTTGTTGACAATTGACTAATTTAACTTGATTATTTGAAATCTTCCTTCCAACCAAACATGCCTATATTTTACAATGCATGTGTTAACTGGTATACTTTGTGTCTTGTTTCATCGATCCTCTTTTTGAACCTGGAATGAATCTCAACTGGCTCATTGATTAATGCGGATTTCCACTGTTGTTTCTTAAAATATACATGGCTTGGTCAATTAAGCACTCAATCTCCGAGGCTGTTCATTCATATGAAGGCCACTGCATCGATACGAGCGCTTGATCCTTTCAAGGCTTCCTGCGGGTGACTGATGGAGAAGCCCAGTGAGACTAGGTTTGTGTGCCATATTGAGCAATACAAATGGACTTGATTTGAGTTGACCTGACTCGACTTTAGCCCTGTGGCTTAAATGTTCATCCCAGTGACCATGTTTCTGCAAAAAGCCCCACTTGTTTCTGCGAGCCAGATTTCCCACTATGCCCTTGGGGTAATATTGTGGCCGCAATGGAGTGTCTTGGTGCCCTATTGCGGTTTCCAGGTGAGGTGGAACAGATGTTGACAGGAGCCCACTCTCTCCTAACAAGGCCCAAAGCACAGAGCACTCTGTCCCTGAAATAGCCCAAAATGGTCCAGGCCAGTTAGGCTGGCCTCGCCGTGAGGGGGGCAGAAAGGGAGACAGTTGGGGACGATGAAGCCCATGCCAGGTTGCGTAGTGTCAGAAAACATGCTTGTTGTCTGCAGGATTCACCAGATCCTAAAAGCTTTTTTGCCCTCACATTGATCCCAGAGCGCCTGCGGTCAGATGGGTGTTGTGTGCGAGTGTGGACGGGCTAAGAGCTTGGCCTTGAAGATGCTCCAGGGCTACTGCTCCAGATTAACTGTACACTACTCTGGCATCCAGTTCACCTGATGTTACACCGTAAGAGACTTTTTGTTCCACATAATTATGTACATACTTGATGCTGCACCTCTCTCCTGGTTTGTCATGCTGCTTTCTCAAGCAAACACTGCACCTGGCTTTGTGTGTATTTAAATGTACTTATATTTTATTGCCACAAGCTTTGTCATGATGAATCTAATCCTAATTTATGACGTACAGTATAAAGCTTAATGCTAGTTACTTTAGAATCCAATTTTGTATCACAAGGTACTTTTTATAAATGACTATGTATTAAATGATTTTGTTTTCTTTCTCATAAAGGCAAATCACTAAATCACTTTCTATTTATGTTTTCCTATCAGCAAAAAAACCTACTGTACCTGCAGTTGCATGAGGCTCCCTGGGGTTCCTCTGGGTGCCCTCATCGTCAGACTCCCCAGGAGTCGCGCCTTCTACAACCTGAAAACTCCTTCCCTGTTTGCCCCATACGTGGTGGATCTGCATGGCTGCCTCACGTTCAGCTGCAAGGTCCAGGTCCTGCTGGGCCAGATGGGCCCTCAGCTGCCTGATCTCAAACTGCAGAGAGATAACAAATCATTAAATCATTAAATCATCATTAAATCATCATTAAATCATCATTAAATCATTAAATAACAAAGAGTAAGGTACCTGCCTTTTGTAAAGCGTCTCCAGATTACATTTGTTGTGAATTGGCACTATACAAATAATGATTGATTGAGTGATTGATTGCGGATGGTTCAAACGGAAAAAAAGAAAGAAAAGAACATTTTGGGAATTCAAAGGAACAGATACTGTAGAAGTAAATGTAGTTTTTATCTGTTTAATGTTATGGCTGAAGTAATCTTTGAGCCTATTGGATAAGGTATGGATTGTGAATTAAGATATTAACTGGAAGTCTATTCCCTAATTGCAAATGCAATTTCTATTAATAAGAATTTTAAAAAAGATGATTTTCTTTATGATAATGTCTACATTTATTTACTTTTTAGTGTTTTTCTGGTCTTAGATTGTCAATCAAAGGGTTAAGAGTTCATCAAAATGCATTGTAGGTGGAATTTTTCTGTATGAGATCATCAGTATGTGTCCTCTGAGGAGTCATAAGAAAAGTGTGGAAAGACTCAACCTTTTCCTGAGGTTTTGCTGCCCTCCTGTGGTGGTAGATGAACTTACAGTTTCCTGCATGGCTCAAGGTTAAATAGGCATGTGTGGCCTTAATTAGACTAATAATGTAGTAAACAATTTAACAACATTTTGGGCAGGTTTGAGCGATATTTAGAAAGTAAATGAACTACAAACTGTAATGTAGTGAGATGACTTTCAATTACACTGAAACACTTTAAACTAAATGCACACAATATGTGCCCACAGTAATTATTTGTGATTATATGTCCAAGCTGTCTGTAAAGTGACATTATACTGAGTCAACTTCTATTTAATTTTTTCCAACAATTTCTTGGATAAAATGAGGTTGAGAAATGTTCTACTATAGTTATGACAATCAGGCATTTCTAGCTGTGCAGTTTGTTGTGTGTTTTGCATGAGGTCCCATATATGAAGCTCCATAGATAATGAAAGCTCTTTTTTAATTGGAGGTGATTATTGTTTGTTTTCATCCTCTTATTAAAGGGTTAACTTGTTGGGAATGTTTGGGGAAGCACTGTTATATCTAATTTGATCAGGTACTCACCGCCTGTTCCTGGCAGATCTGAGTGAGACGCTCCAGCTGCTCCTCCCTCACAGCCTTGGTCTTCTCACACTGCTGGATCTCCAGTTCCATCTCAACTTTTACTTGCAGCACAAAAGCTGAAATAAAAGAGGAGAAAAGAGAGAATCAGCAGGAGTTAAAAACATAAATATATTTGAAAAAAAGAAACAATTGTAATATTTCAGGGGGCTTCAAGACTTAACAAGAGAGAAGTTTTTAAGCTATTAAAACCATTTATGGTCAAATTCATCAAGCAAACCAGGGACAGAGGTCAGCGTTGGTGGGCCACTTGTCCTTTGCCCCATATATGTATTTCACCACTCATGCAGACCTCATTAATTACTGGTTACTTGTAACCCTAAACCTGTACTGAATGATTTTAGCGAGGTGCTGAAGTTGTTCCGCATGGATCTTGTTTCATTGGGGTAAAAAATACAAAATGATTGATTGATTACTAAAAATCAGACATCGAAACTTCATATTGCAGTGAATACACCCTGTTTTGGGGGGCCTTTTACTTTTATTGATAGGACAGCTGAATAAAGACAGGGAACGCAGGGAGCAGAGAGTGGGGTAGACATGGATCAACACGTTGAGGCCGGGAGCTGAACTCTTTCTTTCTTTTAGTTTCTTTAAGGGACTCATGTACAATAATCAGATCGATTTCTGTTTTTCCTTCTCTCCTTGATGCTGCAATGCTTATTCACATGAAAAGGGAAATGATGTCTGATTGGAGAAGTCATTGTAAAATGTAGTAATGACGTGAAGACTATCCCCTGGTTAGCATTGACTTTTAATTACTTTAAAATGTATTCAAATAACACTCTGTTTGGAACAATGTAAGGCCTGCTGATCACATGGCCTCCTGAGCTTCATCTTCTTGTTGCCACATGGCTCGGTCTCTACCTATAACTGATATATCCTTTACTGACACTTTCTGACATCACTGTTTTCCTACTAACCGTCAGACTTTGACTTCTTTGAATAGATCTTGCTTCCTTCCTTTGTGTCTGTCAATTGTCACTCCCTGATCTATTTTATAACACAAAGCTTCTGTTGAGTGTTTGTGTAGTTATTCATTTTGTTAGGGTAGTCAGTGATTCCTGGTGACGTGTAGGAGGGGTAATGTGCAGCCCTGCACAAACTTGATTTACATCTTTGTCAATCAGTTATTCCACCTCTTCCAATCAGACAATAGTTTCCATTTACACCTGACACACTTCTTGGAGAATGGGACCAAAACCAGCACAGTGTGAGTAACTGTGGATCCCTGTTGTCCTGTCAGGTGGCAGGCGATCAGTGCCTCACACATCTCTGTGATCACATTTGTAGGCCAGCCACGGGATATAAAACATGGCATTACTGTGTATCCTGATAGGACATGTTGCTATGGGCAACACATAGAGATGAAACATGCAGTAGTAAGTGATTATATTTCTACTACTGCTTTTGCAATGTGTTTGAACTACTCTGAGACCAAACTGCTGGTTTTGTCGAAACACTGAGAGGAGAATGGAACAGTCTTTGTGATACTGAGGGGGGCAGGGCACAGCAGCCATCACCGCATGCTCCTTGTTCCTATTTATAGTCAGGTTGGCACGCACACACACACACACACACGCACACACAATGTGTGTGTGTGTGTGTGTGTGTGTGTGTGTGTGTGTGTGTGTGTGTGTGTGTGTGTGTGTGTGTGTGTGTGTTAAAGACTCTCTGACAGCTGCATCCACATCACTGTAATTCACACCTGAACTTCACTGAGGCTAACACAAGACCATGCTCACCTCTCAAAAAGAGTCATGTGCTTAACTGCACACACACATACCTGCTTTATACACAGACCTACAAAACCCTGTTCACCTGAATTGGAAAGTACAGGGACTTAAGAAATGGTTATATGAAGCATGGCCTTTACTACAGCTAGTTTGTGAGGTTGGTATTTAATTCTACTTAGATGTATTTTCTCTGTTAAGGAATCTGCTGCAGTCCCCTACTCTGTATTTCTATTCCCACTACACCGACACAAACATCACCACTGTTCAGCTGTAAATCAAGATAATTCAGTGAGAGACTCAATCCTCAATGATAACCCAGTTGGTCTGTCAGCTGTACCTTTATTGGTTTGAGAGTGATTTTTTTTTTTCCTCTGAGGTGTGTTGCTGACTGCCTAACAAGGAAACTCAATCACTCACAGATATCAAACCCAACAGGTCGAGGTGTGTGGCGGGGCAATCACGAGCTCACTCCCTGCAAACCAACACCACAGCTGCATGTTAACAAGTAGGAAACACACTGCTCCTGTTAGGGACCAGAGTCTCTCTGTCATGCAGAAAGGTGTATTGTCTTTATTCCTCAAAGTATCAATCATGTCAGTATGATGTGTCACTTTTGGGTCATTGTAATTTCAACCACAAAAACATTGTATTTATTCTTGAGCCTGGTCTAAAATGTCTTGAGAATGACGGAGAAAGGGTTTCTTTTAAGGATATTTTCTTTTACAAAAACACAGCATAAGGTATACATCTGATTATATAAATAGGATCTGCATAATGAAATAATAAAAGCAGAACCTGTTGGAGGTTGGAAATGCGCAACAGAACAGCAGGTAATTGTTGAATATAGATTTTTGGAAATAGGTTAGCTGAGCTCAAATAGTGCAGCATAAACTGCTTATTTACACTTCATGTGTCGCTTCAACAAACAAGATATGATTTACTAATTTGGGAGCTTCAGAAGTGCTGGTGGGCAGACTTAGTCACATTTGGACAGAGCTAAGATAGCTTTTTAAACCTTTTCACAGTCTGTACTGCCCTTAACTCAGCAAACCAGTTGCTGGCAGTGGCCTCAGCCAACTTCTCCTAACAGAAAATGAACACATTTCCTCAAACATCAAACCTTTAAGTAAGTCCCCTGTCTCACTGCAGCTGATCCTGTATGCAGCCAAAGGCCAGTCATGAAGGTGACCTCTGAACAGATATCGAACCAGCTAGCATTAGCATAGAGACGAATAACCACTTAATTCATTATGGCCCCTCTGAATCTACTCAACTAGACCCTACAATCAATACAAGTTAAAGTAGCAGAGTGGCAGCAATTTACTAGTAGATGTGATCAATGGCTCTGTGGTCTGAAAATTAAATAACTTGTATAATCATGGAAATAATGGGGTCGTTTACGTCTTTCAAGACCAGCTGATTTTTATGCATGAGTGCTCCTCCTTTGAGAAAGATTGGGTGTTTTCTTGAGAAGCTCCAAACAATGAATCATCCTTATATACAGGCCACTTCATACAATGCAAACAGAGTAGACTACACAATGTTTTTTTTTTTTAGCCTCACCATCAATGATCCTCTTGACCCTCCAGATGCGAAGAGTGATGATGAGGCTGATGGCATCCCATGGGCTGCTGGGCCCGTTGGCCACTGTGGAGGCCACCATGGGGGCCAGGGACAGCACAATGACAGCGCCATCAAACACCTGAGGGAGTCACACACGCAAGCAAATACAAAAAACAATCATGGGTACATGTTGCTGTTTACCTTAGATCCTCTGTCTCTACCTTGAATAAAAAAAATGCAGCTCCATGGTTGTGATTAAGGCCAAGTGTGCATGCAAAGAAAGTTGTTGGTAAAAATGGAAATTGTATTAATTGCCAATGCGTTTTTGTTGCATTCAGAAATGCATACCACTCCCACTGCTGTACAGTTCATGAATAATAGATATGTTAAAGTTAAAACTATTGATATTTGGTTTTAAGGGAGCCCAACCCTGGTCACCTGGGTCCTGTATGGAGTTTGTATTCCCCTTGGACAGAGCCAAAGGTAACAAAATGCATGAAGATATTCTACTACTATTACATGGGAGAGAAAATTTAGATAAACAATACTTCAAGAGGTGGACAATCTAAAAATACTCTCTGAAACTTGTTCATCACTATCTGTCAATAAAAGACACAACACCAGCACTGACCTCTACTTTGTTCTCAATGTAGTCCCAGATCCCGAGCACGACAATCCTGAACACAGTCTGAAACATACAGAGATGAGCATTCAAATAGACAGGTAAGAGTCTTCTGTTACATTCAAAAATCTCTTGTGATATTCTTCTCATCACTTCCAACAACCTTCGTCGAGGCGTGTGAACATAGACTAAAAAACTGAGAAAGACTTGTGAGGCACAGTTCGCTCCTTAAATGCTTCTTCTACGGTCCAAATGTTTACTAAGCTAAAATGCTTAAAAGTAAAGCTTGACATTCTAAAAATAGCTGAAATAAAAAGATTTGATAAGCAAAAAATATGTTTCAGTAAAAAAATAAAGTAAATACAGTGACGGTTAGAGAAGAAAAATAATATGATGAGCTTTTGATTAATCACAAAGACATCACAGAGAAGAAAGTAGACAGCCCTCCCATGCTCTTTATTTTTGTGGCAAATATGCTCCTTGATCTTTGAAACAAAAAGGAAACAAAACACCTGTAATTTGATCACCTGTCACAATGCACATTGTGCTCCCTAGATGTTGTTGTTAGATCCTTTGTTGAGCTGCATCATCGATTCACACTCCAATTAGCATGTGGTGTCATGTGTGACCGGTCCTGCTAATCCATCATGTTGAATCCATGTTGAACACTATTGGACATGTCGTGAGGGGTGCGGGGACACAGCCCACATGTTAGAATCCTGCTCTCTGATTGGTGCAGAGGGAGCGGCTGGTGATATGTTTCCTCTATCTAACACCATCCCCAGATGACAGTTCCTCTGTGATGTCAGTGGGCGAGGTGTTTGGATGGATCGGATCACTGTAACCTCATCCCCACTGCTCATTAAGCTGGGCTTTAATTATTGCTCCGGCTGGCTCGCTGGTAATTAATGTTAGGTTTAGGGCGTTTGGGCTGAGGCTGTCAGGGTAATTAGTTTGCACAGGAGTGGAGGCCTGTGGGCCAAACTCTCCCCTTTCCATTTTGTTTTTTTTTACAATTTCACAGCGGTGATAAGACAATATTTTATCAAACAATGGCCAAAAATTTAATTTAAAGCTATTAAACTTGAGGTTTCAATAATAGACATTTTACTACCCACAAGCCTTCAAGTCTTGAGCTTAAGTTTCACCCTGACAAGAGAATGCTTGATAACAGACTATTATGTAAGTATCATGGCAACGACTTATTGTAGTTGCATCAGGCATGTTCTAGGTTTGCATTTCAACAGATAGGATGTCATCTACAGTGAAATACAGTATGGATATATTTAATTCAACTGTGTAATAAGAAGACAAATCTAATGTGTCACTTAAAACTTCAGGATTTTGTTCCCTTGGGTATTGTGACCATTGAACATTAATCAAAGAGCGTGGAGGAAGCAATCTAAGATGAAGAAAGCAATCAGAGATTGTAATAAGGTTTTATGGACAGCAATAGACATGACTTACCTCTGAGAAGAAGAGTGAAAGGATGATAAGGCTGATCCAATGGATAATGCTGGCAAATTGGAAAGCATTGGAAACTGTTGAGAGAGAAGAAATGTGACAAAGGTTAAAGAAGAAGAGGACACTAGAAACAATAGAGGTAAAACATGTTGTTTCTATCTCTACATGTATAAGGTGAGTGCATAAATGAATTCAACCTGTATCCACCCATGTTCTTGGCCACTAATCCCTTTTTGAAATCTCTATCCTGTTCCCACCTTATTGCCCACGCCTCTATTTGTCTCTCCGGACTGGCAGCAGCTAAAGCACCACATTACAATAGATCTGAAGTCCAGCGGTGCCCACACTCAGACTCAGGTATCATCAGTGCTGGATGCTAGCCAGTAATCGATGGGGATGTGTGACTGCTGCCATTGACAAGAGTCCCTGTTTATTATCAACCCTCTCCATCACTCTCCATCACAGTCGTTTACCAACAAACACCACCAGCTCCTCTGTGACTGCCGGGACTTCACACTCAGTGGTGATAGACAGAGGAGACACTAAATGTACATATGAGGGATTCATTAACAAACACCTAAGTTCTTTAGTAAAATAAAAAGAGGGCCACAAATTCAAGGTCACACTTGTAGTAGTCTATATTATATGTTATATTATATTAGTCAGTTACTTTTACAGTAATCATTCATTTACAAGTGCCATATTGGTGTATATTAAATGTCTCTTATCTACCAACTTTTACAAATCCTGAAAAACTCAGATGTGTCAATAAAGAAAAACTGCTGAATGTTAAAACACTCCATTAAAAAACAAAACTTTATGAAAGCATCAAAAGGTTCTGAATAAAAATGTATTCTTTTTTCTTTTTAGAAGTATTTTTGGGCTTTTTCTGCCTTTATTAGAGAGATAGGACAGTGGATAGAGTCGGAAATCAGGGAGTGAGAGAGTAGGGAATGACATGCGGGAAAGAAGCCACAGGTGGGATTTGAGCCTGGGCCGCCCGCTTGGAGGGCTGTAGCCTCCATACATGGGGCGCGCGTGCAAACCAATGCACCACCAGAGCCCCCCCCCCCCCCACTTGATTCTTAATCACATTTATAGATACAATTGTTGTTTGTTAAGGTGTTTGTTTAGTGAACGTCACATAGTGCATTGCTGGAAATGAATATGCACTCTCAGCAGTTCTCCCTGTGATGAAATAAAGGTTAAAATGAGAAAAATAAATCAGCACTATATTTACATTGTAAGAGTTTGGTGTCTATGAGCAGCTCCAAAGACAGGAAAAGCACCACCAGGATGACGCAGGCCACCAGGATACAGTTGAAGCCAGCGCTGAGCAGACAGACCTGCCACAGGGCCACACGACGACCGCAGCACGGCTTCAGCCAGTTAGAGCTGAAAAGAGAAAACAACAAACATAATATTGTGTTTTGAACCGTATATAATAGATTTGTATTAGTCTATGTAATCAGAAAGGGAAGCAGATGAATAAAATAACATTTTACTTGTAATAACAGTAAGGTGAGCCAAAACAATTGATTTTGCAATTTAAAGCACAGCTTAATCAAAAGGAGCAAATCATTCATCTTCAATAGCAACAAATTCAATTATTTGAGGTCAATACGGCTGCTAAACAAAAGATAACTGGTGCAAGTATTGATTGACTGACAGACTGAAATGTGTATAATTAATTATATTCCTCCAAAGCATGTTTAAACTGACATTGTTTACGGATGAATCTATATAGATATTGATTCCCAGTCTAAGTGCAATACTGATTTGTTATTTGAACTTCCTGATACGACCAACAGAGGGCAATATATTACACTTAGGTAAGGTGATGTCTGTTGAAAGAGCAAAGTGTGGTCAGAGGCAGCATTGACAGAGGAGGGACAGTGAAGCTCTGTGATCTGGTGACTTGACCATCAGCCGTCTGTGTGAGCGGAATATTGATGGACTCCTTTTAACACGGTAATGAACAGAGTCACTGTAAAGGATGCTGCCTGGCAGGATATGGGCAAAACCAGTGCCCCAAGAAACAGGTCAAAGTGTGACATACAAAAAATAAATTAAATCAACACATAGATTTATGACTTTTCTTTGTCCATCTATAGAATCAGTATTTTCACTGAACTATCATAACACATGTGAGAACTCCCTATCTAATGATAGAATATTCTGCCTTTAACTCAGGGAACGTGCTCCAGAGATGTAAAAAGAAAAAAAAAAAAAAGCTCTGTTTTTCCAGGTACTGTAACAGTACAGCATTTTAGGCCACTACAGCGTCTGGCGAGATGACTCAATATTATTTAAAAATAGTGGTGAGCCTTGCAGAGCAGCTACTACGAGGCTGACAGTAGGAGATGAGAGAAACAATGCCTCTCACCAGCTCTCCAGCTGGAGTGGAAAGTTGGCTCTGCCCACTACCTTTCCCTTCTCCCCATGCCCTGGCATGCAGAAGACAGACGTTGGCAGAGCATTTCTCTCCTCTGATCACGTCTTCATTCTGTAGCGTGGTGCTGAAATGACCTGCAACAGTGGCAAGATGGCTCGAGTTCTTTATGTGCTTTAAAAAACAGAAAGCGTCTGTTATATTTTCTCTGTTTGTATCGGTTTGAATATCATTCAACATGCTTATCAAGTTGTATCAAGTAATAGTTGTATCCTTGAGTTACATTTAATTAAGGCTGTTTACTAATGGGAGACCAAACTTTACAGTATAGGCACAAGATGAATACAACTCCAAAACAGACCAAGAGCCTTGACTGTAGCTGATTTAATGATGAAGCGATCATTCTTCCAGGGAGATACTTTTTATGTGCATCTAACTTCCTAATTTCTTATGCACAAACGCATTATTGAGGTCAGCAAATAAGTAACTAAAAAAAGTTAATACAAACAAATATTATGATTTTAGCATTGGATTATTAAATGCAAGGCCCTGATAACAAACAACTAGTGTGACCACAAATGTGATGTGAGCATATACAGTAATGGCTGAGTAATAAACAGAAGACGCTTTTAAAGTCTCCTCATGATTTTCTCCCAGCGTAACGCACACAAAAACTCTGGATATGGGTAATATTTCCAACAGCTGTTGAGTCCATCACTCCACCCTTCCACTGGCTAACAGAAGACATTATTCATCCAAGACTGGCACGGGCAGAGCCACAATCCTGTAAACAATGCAAAGCTAATCTAATAAAGGCGTAATCATGCTGATAGCAATCATCTTCTTGGCTGAGGGCGGGGTGGTGTAAATGCACAAGCTCCAGATGGTACAGAATCTGCTCCACCAGAGTCTTGGCGAGATTGCGGATGGCAGGTATTGTGCCATACAGAAAATCAGGCCTACATTAAACACAGGGAGTTCTTCATTTTATTATTCTGTTAATATTTTACTTAAACTGGATTTCAATTTGGTAATGGACGTGAGTTTGGTGTGATGCTCTAAGCTGAAAAATAAACATGTAAACTCTAGTTGAGAACAATTTTGACTTTTGCAAGCAAGCTTAACGGTGATGCAGCTTGTAGGCTCATGGGGTCTTTGTAGACATAAACACAAAAGGTATTTTCTCAAACGTGCCAGCCGCATATGTTTCCCAAAGAAAAAATATAGAGCAAACACAAGCAGCTGAATTTGATTTCAATGTTAAGCCAACATATTAAAATATATATTTAAATTATTGTTGAAAAAATAAGACTTTTAAAACAACAGTCACTGAGAACTAGAATGCATATCTATTAACCAGTACTCAAAAACATTCATAACTTTGTTGATGTGATCATTAAACGTGACTTATATTTTCTTCACTCAAACAGAAACTGAGTTAATGTTCTCACTGAGCTACAATGCAAATATTAACTGACTGCTGTTGATTTGTTCCACCAGACCAGTTTAGATTTGTTGCCCTGCTGAAGGCCACCTTGACAGTAGCTGAAGGTATGTGGAGTCATTCATTCATCCTCTACTCCTCAATTTTCAAGCACACTCTGGGGATTTGCACCAGTCAACCTCCACTAATAACCTTCTCCAACCTTTATGGATTTGCGGCTCCACACAACAGCTCACAACATACAGTAGAGTCTCATCAAACCAAACTGTTTTTTTTTTTATCAGATCCTCGTAGTAAGAATGTTTTCTAAAGTTGACTCACAACAATGCTATTTCTCCTTTTGCGTCATGTTAGTGTAAATAAGACTGCAGGCAGTGAAATAATATCATTTATTTCTCTTCACCACAGTTGAATAAAAAAATAGGAGTAAAGAAAATCAGGGCATTTCAGCCATTGAAATGTTTCATTGCCTCAAACAACCTCTATTTCCAGAGGTTATGGTTTTTGCAAACTTCCACCATGTGATTAGATAGTCCATCAAAGTGCATCTTGAATCAAATGATTTCACGCTTCACTCAGCTGCTGCAGGCAAGCAAAAAAATAAGAATAATCACCAGAACAATAAAACTCCTTGAGTGGGAGTAGGGAAGGGAAGTGGTAAAAGTGAAATACTCTTTTCATTTACTTTATAAGGGAGTATCCTTCTCTGGGCTGTAATGGCACTAGGAATCCTAAAATATTGCAGACAGCCCCAATGAGAACCTAAGAATATGGTACTTAAAGGGAAAGTATGCTTTAGTCTTAATTGTACTTCTTCCTTCAAGTCCGTAAAATAGAACAGCAAGCCAGATTTCAGACACACTGAGGTCTAGAGTCTAAGCTCCCTCATTGCACCCAGTAATCCAGTCACTAAGTTTAAAAATACTTGTCCCCTTCCTTGTTGTCACTTTGTTGAGAAAATCAAACCACTTTCATACATGTTAAATATATTGCATTACTCGTGGCCAGAAAGCTGAAAGTAGAAAAGAAAAGACTGGAAACAGCTAGCCTGTCTTCTTATGTGTAAAAATCACTGAGGCCCGGGATGGGGAGTGGTGTTGTTGGGTGGGGGTGTGTAGTCAGACTATTTTTTGGGCGGAAGCAGTGACTGCATGTCATCTCTGTTGGTTGCCTAGCAACAGCACTGTAAAACACTTTGGGAAGTGTCTGCTCCTGGCGTATGTTTATAAAATAGTTTTAGAGGGTTGGTTGGGGCGTAAATCACAAGTTCTCTCAATGCAATATTTGAACAATTCTTTGAATCTCTATATGCTGATTGGACAAATCCTGCCACATTTTGTTTTGATTTAATTCATGTGACTGACATCAAATGTTCACAAAGGTCCATTTTATACAAACAGTTACAAAATCAACAGAAAAAATTAAACCACATTATAATATCACAATTCTATAACAAAAGAGTAAAATCTGGACTTTTTATTCTTTACCCTTTGGCAGAGTAAAGGCTACCTTCTCCCTGTCTTTATTATAGGCTTAGCTAATGGTTCATTGGGTAGCCACACCCTAGGGTTATAGGGTATCGCACTATATTTAGCTAAAAGACATGAGATTGTTTTAAATCTTCACTCCTTATTCTCTGAAAGAAAGTGAACATTTACAGTATCCAACTTTCCCTTCAGATTGGTATAGGTGTTTTTTCCCAGACTGATGAGTGGAGCTGGATCCAATAAACTTCCAGTAGTAGAGCTTAACTAAACAAACAGCATGTACTTGAAATCCTTACAGACTTACTTCTAATAATCTGGGCCTCACTTGTTCATATTTCATGGAAAGGCGGCATTCTAGCTATGATCAAATCTAACACTTCAAGAAGCTAAAATGATTCAACAAAGAAATAAACCTGTAAGCTACAATCTGCTTAGCATTTATAGTATGCAGCATGTTTTTAAAAGCTCTACCCCAGAAGCTCACACATCTCTCTCTCACAAACACACACACACACGCACACACGCACACACGCACACACACAGAGTTACATATGAATTAGAGATGAGAGTTCACAGGCAGTGCGAAACAGTCAGCTATAATACGTTAGACAAATAGGCTGAATTCAGTGAATGTGTGTGTCCTTACTTCATGTCACGCCAAAACTAGTCCAGCCCAGAGGGGATGCAGTCAGATGCTGTCGGTAACACATGCAGTATATTAATGAGTCTTATTAAAGACTGAACAGGAGCAAATGTTGTTTCCCTGACCCGCTCAGCCCTGACGGTCTGACACAACCACCTGGCCCAAGTCACTAGCAGACAAGCACAAACAGCGGACAAGGTCACCCCTTAAACTCCATGGTTTTGACATTTTTCTGTATTAATTTACAAACCAAAGTCATATTTTTATTTTAATATTGGTCCAATGACACTTCTATTGGGAGAGAAACATGAAATGTGAACACATGAAATGTCTAGTTCAGCCCTCTCTTTCTGTCTTTATCTCTCCTGCTTTCTTTCTCTGTCCATTCACTCTTCCTTTACATCCTTCCTGCTGCCAGTGTGTGTTCAA